GATGATGTGCTTGAAGCTACACAGGATAACTACCAACTTTTTTTGGGAACATTCACTTTGTCCGCCCCGTCTTAGGCCCCATGTCAGGGGAATGGATATGATTGTGGAATGTTTGTTTTCAAGATGATTCTATCTCCAGTGCTTTCTTTAGGCTTTAGCATTAAGGTGAACTCTATAACATGCAACCTACGACATGTCGCGATTGTATCATTTGATAATTTGTTAATATCCCTCGTCAAAGCTCTTTAATTTAACAACTTGTTTTCATTTGATCGCAGGAAGATTTGAACGAAATGAGGATGAACTTTGCTTTTTCATTAGCTACTCACGCTGACAATAAAGTTCGGAACAAAATCATACATAAGGCCCGAGAACGAGGGATAGAAATGGGAAAATGTAGAAGTATGTTACAATGAATGTGAGAATGTAGGTGGTATGTATATAGTGGAATAGAATGTTGAATTGTGAATGGAATGTGAGTAAGTATGCATTATGTATATAGTGGAATACAAAGTTGCTTGAGAGGTGGAATGCGCTTTGTTAGGCGGGATTTATATATTGGAATACAATCAAATTACGTGAAAGCTGGAATGTGTTTTGTAAGGCAGGATGTATTTATTGGAATACAATGTTGAATGGTGAATGAAATGTGCTTATGTAGGCGGTATTTATATATAGGAATACAGTGGACAGGTCAGTGGAATGTATATTGTTTCATGAACGCACATAGCAATGAATTTAACCAAGCCATCACCACTCATGAGAAAGACAGGTTGTACATCATCACAAAAATAATTTTTTTTTATTTTTTGAAAAGGAAAAAAGATAAATGTTATTGAGTATATGCAAAAGATAAATGTTACAAGCAAGTACATAGGGGGTAAGAACCTTGGAGAGACTCCAACGGAAAAAGCACAAGAAGCAAATTTTAGTTATTTTGGTCTATCTTTTTGTAATGAAAAGGTTTGCAGTGAATTTAACGTGAGTCAAGTCATTTCGTGTGAATATTTGAAACGCGTCTCGTTGGATGCAAAGAAACACGTGTTGTTTTGTGTAATATTTTAAAGAGAGGTTGACATCGATGCTACACTGCCAAACTAGTGGGGACATGCATTTAGATGCACAATTGCATCATGCCAACATTCACACAAAACATCCCGCTCAACCCAAAAATAGATAAAAAGAAATGCATTGAGTTCTAGAATATCAGCAGCCATGTGGGCCACATGAATTTTTTCACATTGATCTAGCTTACCATTGTCATAATACACCGTCTCTAAATATGTCTAAACCACCTGAAAGAATCCTCCTTTAATCTATCTCTTATAAAGCATTTAGGGTTTAGAAAGGAAAATCATATCCAAATATGAAGCAACTCCCACCCTCCCTCCTGTCGGGAGGACCAGAAGGGTCTAACAAAGGAAAAAGAAATGACATTGTTTTAAAAAAAATGAAACAAAGTAAAAACAATTATTTTTTTTTAAAAAGAAAAAATTTATTGAATAAATTCCAAAATTACAAGAATAAAAAAACCAGTAATTGTTACAATAGAAAACAGTTACAGCTTCACCAAAACAAGCAAACTGTTACCATCAAAACAGTTAAAAAAATTCCTGTACAGTTGCTATAGTCCAGATCATCAGCATACCAGCACCCTCTTTTTGTACAGCATACCTTGATGCACATCCTGAGATGCACATTCTGATGAAGAAAACAAACTGGCAGTACTGGAATCCAGAAACCAACAGTCCAAAACCCCTCCACAGATCAGCTCCTACCTGACTCACTAGAGGACTTCAGACCAAAAGTAACCTCAGCCCAAAAGCACTTGCACTATCAAGACCTCTAGCCAGCTGCTGAATCCACAGAAAAAACCTACTGGCCATTTAACACAAACCTCCTCCTTCTTACAGTAGGCCTGAGTTGTATCTTGCTGCAAAAGCATTATTCCAGGCAATGGCAGAATACCATCAGCTGGAAAAACACTAAAGCCACCAGACTTAACTGCCAAAGAAGCCAAAAAATCAGCTACAACATTAGCCTCCCTATACACATGTCTACACTGAAACTACAAATTACTAAGAAACTCCCCAATCTCATCCATAACTGCTTTCAACCTCCAAAACACTTAAGCATGCCCTCACATCTTCATATATTCTCCTACACATTTCTTTCCAAAGGGCCCAAAAAAATCAGCAAGGATACCCCCAAAATAAAAAAAAAAAATCTAAACATTAATTGAATCATAAGTATAGCAGAAAATGGAAAGTGAAATGACGCCCAAAAACTAAAAATCAATTGAGAAATAATTTACAGGAACCAACAATGTAGGGAGAATATTGTTCACAAAACCTACCTATAGCACTGTTCACAAAAAATTAATTTCCCTGTAACTTGGCTTAGAAACCATTAAAGCGTTGTTTTGGAACACCACCATATCTTCCAGGTGTGACATTGCGACTTCCATAAGCTACCTGGACAATATCTCGCCCAATGCCCAAATTGATTGTAGTTGAAGCACTCATCACTCATCAGATGCACCACTATTAGCACCTCCCCCCCCCCCAAGGNAATGCCCAAATTGATTGTAGTTGAAGCACTCATCACTCATCAGATGCACCACTATTAGCACCTCCCCCCCCCCCAAGGACACCCTATTGCTGAAGCTACCTCCATATGACTATCCCTCACCATTCATAACACTCAGGCAATGCGTAGAGCTATCGCCAGGACCACCACAACTGTTACAGCTTAAATACATGGTAGTAGAACTATTCATCTTCCTCTTCATATTTTAAGTAATACAAATCTTTCACATATATACCCATGATCTCCTCACCAGATTCTTGGAATGCAGTTACCCATTTCAAGCCAGTGTGATCCTATATTTAGAACTAGAGATTATACCTATAATCACATTCATGAAAGGTCTGTTCACACATATCACATCGCCACTTAAAATCTCCACTATTTGTAACCTTTTTCTTGCACTTCTGATCTCCAATCATGATGGGACATGCAGTGTAGCAAAAATGAAATTGTTGCTGTGGGATTGAGCTATCATCCTCAGAGCAAGGCTCCACTGTTGATGTACTTTCCATGAAAATTTCATGATAATTATGAAGGTGATTGAAATCCTATATATGAGTAGGTTTCAGGGTCCCATTGGTGATCATATACACTTTATCAAACTCAATCTGGTGGTAGAATTGGTCGGCCACAACATTAAAACAACTTCCTTTAGTTTTGCCCTGTACACAACCAAGCTAAAAAACATATATCAGCACCACTAAAACCCAGGGACATCAAGCATGATTGCAACAACTATAGCATGAGCTATTGAGCAAAACAAACAATCACATGCTTTCATAACATGAAGCATGCAGTCGCTATGCTGCAATCATAACTAATGTTCCTATGAGCACATTGTCAAACTCTTAAACATTTTGGNTGCTTTCATAACATGAAGCATGCAGTCGCTATGCTGCAATCATAACTAATGTTCCTATGAGCACATTGTCAAACTCTTAAACATTTTGGGTAGTGCAACGACAAATCATTTGCAATTGATTTGTTTGTATGCAGCTGCCTATATACATATCCACTGCAAGAACTTTTATTCAAGATTTCAGTTGTGCAGAACTGTATATACATTTATCTAAGAATGTAACTGTAAAGCTGAACCAAAACAAAGAATGTAAACAGTTGCTCCATCACCATCAGGTCTCTTTCTCGAATCCAAATTTTTACCGAAACACACGTCAAGGTGTGTGTAGTGCCATATGTATGATTCTGCCTCTCAAATTGTTTTCCTCAGCGGTGACCAAGTTAATAGCCACCTCTCTTCGAGTTTCTTCACTATTATCCTGCATTTAACAAATGTAACCATTACAATTAAAACTTTTTTATTGTAGTATTATTAAAGATATTCAAAATTGTCAGCACGGACTGTTTATTGTTTTTCACCTTTCTGTAAAACCTTGGCCCAAATGTGATGATTGCATTATCTTCATAACGAAAATTCCGCAATTAAAACCATTGGCTTGTTTGGGCATCCAAGCTATTTTAACGAGCTTCCACGTGCCCAATTTGTGTTTAAATTGGGAGCCCTAGTTGCAAGAATGCCGTCCAAAACATCAATCTACAAAACAAGTTTGGACTGTAATTTCTGAAGAAAAAAAATTGTGAACAAGTATCCTTTGCTAAATGAAAACAATAAGTATCTTACAACTCTATTCGCATTTGTGAGGTGAATATTGTTTCTTTTTGGACTTGGCAGTGGATCGAGTAGGAAGGTTTGTTTCTTCTCTATATCCACCAAAAGTAGATACCAATGTGATTGTTTATCATTCATTGGGACATAAATCTACATACAAACATACAATTATTCATAAAATTAGTTGTAGGAATCTGATATGTAGCATGGATTAACTTAAAAATAATTAGAAAATGAATTTTTCAATATACACTACCTTTGTAGTTGTTGTAAAATCAAGGAGAGGGAGACGACTAAACTTCTATTTTTTTTTGAGTTACCCTTGCACTTTGACTACGGGTGATTGTGCTTCACATGACTTGTTGTTGCATAAATTCATGAACAGACACCCATTACTTTGTTTGTCATTACATATCCAAACTTTTGTTTTTGCCCTTTTAATGCACTTACATTAGTATGAAATAAAAAAATGTACTTACAGAGAAAAAGGTAGGTAAGTACCATCGACTCGTCTGTGGAGTGATGCATGCACACATATTAATGACCTATGTCTAATTTCTGACACGATATTTTAGTTTCATTCTCATAACATAACAACAATAAAATAAACAAACATAACATTCATGAACAATTCCACTAAGCCATTGGTGTGGGGAAAGGGTCTGTAACATTCCCCTCGTGCCTCGATCATGGTCACCAATTGATACCAGAATCTCACTGTACGTAAACAAAACACAATAATCTTATGCACTGTTGCATTGAAAAATGATAGAATTACCAGTTGTTAAGCATATGATATTGCTTCAAATATAGGGTACAACATCACATACTCAGATGGCAAGTTTTTGTCAAATATGTAAATGTAGATTGCGGGCTCCACATTATCATTGATATGGGTTATTCGGGGGAACACCACACCTGCCATCTACAACGTAATGTATCCTATAAGGGGTTCAAAGTGCCACTCACCTGGAAATGCATGTTGAATTTTTAATACAAAAATCAATAAATCATACTTCCTCTGCTTGGTGTCCCTTTGCAGCTTGTGGATCATCCAAGTCAGCCTACAATATAAAGTTCGCATTTGTTAGTTCACGTCAACAAGTCAGTAGTAAGAGATGTCGTAATACATTGAATAACACATTTAATGTTTCACCAGTACAACGGATAATATACACACCTTCGTCAGATCAATTTCATCATCTCCGTTGTTTCCCCCCGTGTCATGCGGGACATCCTTCGTAGTCGTCGATTTATTAACAAATTGGGATAGAATATGTCCAATCTCTCCCAGTCGTTTCTCCATCACAGAAAATGAAGTTGTGCATTGTGATGCAAAAGTATCAAACTTTTTTTCAATGCGATCAGCAACAACCTCAAGTCTTCCAATTCTTACCTGCAAATCCTATGAACCAATTTACATAATAAATCACAGTACAGTCAATTAGTTGTAGAATTTTTTTTTTTAAATGAAACATAAATTGTGGTAAATGTATTCGCCATAATCTTATATTAGGCTTCTTTGGGAACAATATACATTATACCTTGTATATTTACATACGTCTAACAATGCTTGCTGGGATACGATACCAAGCACATCATCAATTATCTCCTCCTCAACAAGAACATCCAACTACATACATAAAACGAATGGAATATGCGCATCAAATACTATGTAAGACAATACCATACAATATTGCAAATGAAATAAAATAAAATTAATAAAATCTATACCTCGTCCAGATTGAACCCTCCTAACTTCAAGATATCATTCATTCTTTTACTTACATCACTGTCACCCCAATCTCCAATTTTTGGGGTCTCACGAAAAACCAAAGGAATGATGGTTTGACCTCTCAGTGTAACTCGTTCAAGATAGAAAACCTACTTACCAAATAAAAATGAAGACCATAAGACACTATTTACCCATTGTATACAATATACACATTACCAAAATTGCTCAAAGTTTAAGTAAATTACCATCAAAACTACAAGACAGCCACCCAATGATCCCCGTTCGGCAAATTGAAAATTTTGAATTCCTTCGATGACTCCATCAAATACAAACTTGCACCAATTAGTATGTCGCAATGCAGGGACGTCAACGACAAAGTGTAATGTAGCAACACTTAGCATAGTTCTCATTGAAGGACGAAGCATACAAGTAATAATATATAAAACAGACAATCGTATAAAATTGTCAGAGGCATCTATGATTGACCTAATGTGCTCTAACAAATGTTTCAAAGATACCTGTGGTTGTCTGTTAAATAAAGACGTACAAAGACCGTTAATGTTGTCCTTTGTACCCGTTGTCACCACATTTGTACTTGAAAAGTGCAAACCTAGTATGTAGGTGACATCTTGGGGGCTGAACTTCGCCCGTTTCCCATATAGGTTGAAAGCACACCTCTGGGGATCAAATCGTCCTGTCAACCATGCACATAAATCATGCCTTATATATGTGCATTGTATACTTAGCAATCCACCCAAGCCAATTTCGCTGATGGCTTGTTTTTGTGCGGCATTTAAATTTTTTGAGAATTTTATTAGTCTTTTAGGTGAACATCTTGTCGCAGCATAACCCT